TGGGCCATTGCTCTGTGGACTCGCCTTGGTCTGCTCGTGGCTGGACTTCATTGGGTCAGTTATGGGTTTGTGGTGGGGAGGGAGGAGCTGGGAAATATTAAATCCACTAAACCACAGTTGTGTGTGTGTATAAAATTTGTTCCTTGATTTATTGTACTTCTGATTCTCTGTCAGGCCTGCAAATGACCCCATTAATCAAGAATATGCTTATTCGGTCTGCCAATATACTTTCATGAGTTCTCTTGGGGAGGAGATATTTTTTTAAATTTCTCCCTGGAACAGATGGAAATCTCCCACTGTTTTCTGGAAAGCTGCATCAGGGGTGCCACAGGAAGGGTACGGAAATATCAAAATAGTAGGCGTGGCTAGGCAATGAAAACCTGATCCTTTCTTTAGTGTGTGTTGCAATACAAGTATTAAAAAAAGGGGGGCAGGTTTCTATTTATTTGTATCCTGCCTTTATTTATTATTCTTTACAAATAATTTAAGTTGAGGAACATATCCAACACATCATCCTCTTATATTCAACACGTCAACAACCAAGTGAGGTGAGTTGGGCTGAGAGAGAGGGACTAACCCAACGTTACAGAAGCTGGCTTTCATAGCTAAGACAGGACTAGAACTCACAGTCACCTGGTGATTGGCCTAAAGTCACCCAGTTGGGTTTCATAGCTAAGACAGGGCTAGAACTCACAGTCACCTGGTGATTGGCCCAAAGTCACCTGATTGGCTTTCATAGCTAAGACAGGACTAGAATTCACCGTCACCTGGTGATTGGCCTAAAGTCACCCAGTTGGGTTTCATAGCTAAGCCAGGACTAGAACTCACCGTCTCCTGGTGACTGACCCAAAGACATCTGGTTAAGTTTCATAGCTAAGGTGGGATTAGAACTCACTGTTGCCTGGTGATTAGCCCAAAGTCACCCAGCTGGCATTCATGGCTAAGGTGGGACTAGAATTCACAGTCACCTGGTGATTGGCCTAAAGTCATTCCATTGGCTTTCATGGCTAAAGCAGGACTAGAACTCCCAGTTTCTAACCTGGTGCCTTAGCCACTGGTCCAAACTGGTTCTTTTTGTGATGTAGCAATGGCCAGTATCTTTCTGACCTTCCCTTTGGATACCTCTGAGCTTAACCGTTGCATTATGTGTGCATTTGTTAAGCTGTCTCACACCTACTTGGACAAAAGAACCCTAATTATATGCACACCAGTTCCATAAAAGATGCTAAGCCAAACTTATAATTTGGTTGCCTTCCATTTACTTATTTCTGGCATTTACGTCCCATTTTCAAGACAACCTCTTTACAGCGTGATTTGCAAGCCGTGATTCATGACTTAATTGCAGTGGGCAGCAATAACTAGCTCGGCTATTCAACAAAGCCCAGTTAAACAAACCACAGTTTAACAAATGATTGTCAGGCTCCCTAATTCATGGTAATGAAAAAGGCGAACCCAACCACCTTCGACCAGGTTTTCCAAAAATCAAGCAAACAAACAAAATCCTCTAATGCCAGACATTTGTCGCAAAACCAAGCACAGATTTCACAACAAAACCAAGTTTTCAAATATTTTCCCCCCTAATAATATGAGTCACAAATTACAACGCCTTTCAGTTTAGCCCTTCTACAAACATTTTGCAGAAGGGGGGGGCGGCAGCTTGTCAATCTTATAGGGCTAAAATCCCCCCCTTTTTTTTTTTGAGGAGGTCAGGAAGGAAGAAATAAATCAAAGCCGCTTAATTGCTGAATTTGACAACTTATTACGGTGGGAGGCAACATAAATTATCCTGGATGCTAATAACCAACTGGCCCTTGGATATTTGACACAGTGCATAATTGAAAGACACAGCGTGAACATCGCAACCAAAATGGCCAATTGGTGAAATGGCGTTGCATCTTCCTTAATAAATCTACCCGTGAGACCAAAATTAAGATAAAAAATAAAAAAAATGAATGAACTGACAAAGAGATGCAAAGTTACCTTTGGAGGCATACACCTTCCAAATATTGTTTTTGGTGAAAACAACTTCTTTCATTCTCTGTCTGAGAAAGTTGTTTTGGAGTACGAAGTCCATTCTTTTAAACTGAACTGTAAAAGAAAAAAAAACACTACAAACAGTGCCTGGGGTATCACATAATCTTTAATAGAAACAATTCTTCTATATTAATTAGTCCAAGACCTATTAAATTGCTTTTATGGAGACTATAAATTGAAACTTACCCTTTCTAGAGTGCAATATTTAAATCTAGTTAGTTCACTAAGCTGCTAAGCACCATCATTGCTCTCTCTCTCTTTTTTCTTTCTCTCTGTCTCTTTCTCTTTCTTCTGTCTTTTCTTTTTCTCTTCTTTCTCTTTCTCTGTCTCTCTCTTTCTTCTGTCTCTCTTTCTTTCCCTTTTTCTCTCTCTTTCTTTCTCTTTCTCTCTCTCTCTAGCTTTCTGATTCTCTTTCTTTCTCTTTCTTTTTTCTCTTTCTTTCTGTCTTTCTCTTTCACTCACTCTTCTTTCTCTGTCTCTTTGTCTCTCGATCTCTATCTCTCTGTCTCTCTCTTTCTGCCTCTGTCTCTCTCTCTCTCTCTCTCCCTCTGCCTGTGTGTGTGTGTGTCTCCCAGTTATCCAGATTTTAAGGGACGTTTGGCGCACAATAACAAACTTATTTCAACTCAGCAGTCCGTCCTGGGTTTAACTCGGTGTTTTTCAGACTGGGAACTAGAGGAGTTGAGGCCTGCACATTTTCAAATTGCCAATTTTGAAAACCACCAGTTGAGTTCCATAGCTAAACTCAGTGAATTTGATTCTACTTAATTCTGATTACTAATTGAGGGGAAAAGAAAACATCATTCTGATAACTTTGCCCACATTCACCAGCAGAGGGAGTGGGGAATTTACTTTTTAGCAGCTGTTTATCTCCAAACAGGCTGCACAACTGGACTGATCTTTGAATCGAGAATCTGGGATCATCAGAGTTGCAAAGGAAAACTTGTTACCTCCTCACTTCTCCTTCCATATCACCCCCACCACCACAGTGCTTCAGATCGCATCAAATCTCTTTGCAAAGGCTGGTCCAAAACGCACACTTTTTACTCTGGGCAAGTGAAGAAAGCCAATCTGATCTGAGCAGCCTTCCTCAGAATTTTTCAGAGATGCTGGAAAGAAACTTAAGTGCAAAGCTGAAATTTTGTGCCTTTAAAAAAAACTGGCTCCCTTATGCAAAGCAGACTTTCCACCACAAAAAAGCCAATACACAAGCCTTTTCCTAGGCATCTGAGCAACCCGGGCTGTTCTACTCTATTCTATTCCTGTTCTGGTCTGTTCTCTTCTTGTTCTTTTCTGTTCTAGTTCTGTTCTGTTCTGTTCTATACTATTTCTATTTCTATTTTATTTCTATTCTATTTCTATTCTGTTCTAGTTCTTTTCTCTTCCTGTTCTGTTCTGTTCTTGTTCTTTTCTGTTCTGTTCTAGTTCTCTTCCGTTCTATTTCTATTTTATTTCTATTCTATTTCTATTCCGTACTAGTTCTGTTCTGTTTTATTCTATTTCTGTTCTGTTCGTGTTCTATTCTATTCTATTCTATTCTATTCTATTCTATTCTATTCTATTCCTATTCCTATTCCTATTCCTATTCCTATTTCTGTTCTGTTCTGTTCTGTTCTGTTCTTGTTCTATTCACACAGCCTTCTTACTTCAGAGATGTATTTCATTGGCTTCCTGAAGGATGACAGTCAAGATTACCCTATACAGATCATTAAAAACAAACATAAATGACCACTAGAGGGCAGCCAAGAAGAGCTTTCAGAAACTTCATGCAGCCCCCTAGCTGTCATCCATATCTTTGCAGCCTTGCCTGTTCAGGCAATTTTTAGCTGCTCACTGGGGAATTCTGGGAGTTGGAGTCCCCTCACCTGAAAATCGTCCAGAGTTTGTAAAATTCTTGACTTATTTCTTTTTCTGCAACCTAGGTGGTTTTATTTCTAAAAATAAAAGGTGCCTCTTTCCCGTGCAGCTCTTAACACACGTGGCCCAGCGCTTGTCCTGCGAAGGCAAATACGCCTTGCAATGCCCAATGCAACCACTCGAAACGCCCAACCAGTTTCAGCTTTCTTAAAAAAATAATTTTGATTGTTATTTTCCAACTTTAAAAACATGTAAATCTTAATTTTAACCGTACTGTGTCATCATTATTATACACATTATTATACAAACTAATCTCATTATTATACAAATCGTTATACAAACCAACCTCATATAAATATCTACATTTATATGTTTTTATCTGTAACTTTCTTATTTCCCTTTATCTTTGTTTCTCTTACTCAACCAATGATACCAATTATCCCAAATTTCATAATACTCTGACTCTTTTTTCTCTTTTCACTTTAAGGTCAGTTTATCCATTTCACCACAATCGAGAATTTTTCGGATAATTAATTCCTAGCAGGGTATAGAGGTTATAGAGACAGACTCAATCATTCCTCTGTAGAACCGGATCAGCAGCTCCACATGACGGATGCTATTTTATTTGTATCAAAATGCATGACACTCGGGTGCCACACACTGTTCACGCCTTGAGATGTTTGTAAAAAAGTAAAAACTAAATAAAAACTTGAGGGGAAAGCAGGGAAACCTGCAACCAGAATTCGGTATAAAGTCCTAGCTGGAGAAAAAATTAAAATACACCCCAGCTGAAGTGAATTAATTAGAGGAAACGAATTCTGTCGGCTACGGCTCTGGTTTGCGGGGGGTGGAGGAGGGAAGAGGGGAACTCCCACCCACCTACCCAAAATCCACTTAGTCTCAAAGAGAAACCTGGCCTTACCTGGTTTCCCTCCGCGGAGGAAGGCTGGGGGGGAGGTGGAGCTTACTATGGCGCAGGGACAACCTGCTTTAAGCCCGGGAGGGGTTTGTCCTCCACCCCATCCACCCCAGACCGCCCCTGAGTTGCTACCGGGGACGCCTCCGGGGCGGATAAAACCCCTCGCGGGACGTTGCACCGGCCAGTAGCCATGCAGAGCGCCGGTCCCGGCGGCGCCCCCGCCTTGCACCTGCTGACCACCTATTTCCTCGACAGCCTCCTGGGTGGGACCGGGGATCGCAGTAAGGGGCAGGGGGCGAAGGGGGGGGCTGCCCCAAGCCCCCCCCCACCGACTTTGCACGCGATGCGGGTGGGACCCCGACAGGCGGGATGGGGCCGGGGTGGGGGGCGTCCGCTGGAGTGGGTCCCCCTGGACGTCGGGCGGGGAACGGAGGAGGGTCCCCTTCGTTGAGCGCGGGCGATGGAACCGCGCTGGGATGGAGAGAGGGACGGAGGGACGGAGCTCAAGCCGGGGCTGCCACGGCTTCCCCGCCGCGCGTGGGAACGGCTTCCGCGACTTTGATGCGCGTGGGAGCGGCTTCCACGGCTTGTACGCGCGTCGACGCGGCTTCCGGGGCTTCTATGCGCGTGGGAACGGCTTCTGGGGCTTTTATGAGCGTGGGAACGGCTTCCGCGACTTCGATGCGCGCGGAAACGCCTTCC